AGAGACCGCAAAAGAATTGTAAAATACAATGTATTCTTTTATATTTTCTACAAACTTTTTTTCTTACATATTCCCTGGATCATTAGGTTCAGAATGACCCAAAGAATGCAGCAGAGTTGGAAAAGGACACCCGAAGAACGTCTCAAAGATCTATCACGTATTTTGCGGTCGTAAGCGTGTATCTTTTATGTTCCTTACATATTTATCTAATCACGCGGTATTGTTTCAACGATTGTATTTTTCAACTAATGTATTTCTTTTAATCCACATAGATGACATTCAAGTTCTCCAGCTTTACAATATACTGTTGCACGCGCGCAGATCTTCCCTTAACGTAATCGAAAAATAATCTTCGCCGTTCTTTCCGTTCTAAAATTTATTTATTATCGCCAAAATAAAAATTAATGGATCTATTTTCTACCGTAACTATTAAACTTTTCTGAAAAAAAATTCCTACAAAAACAGAAAATCTCCAGCAATATTCTCAAGAATATTCTCATAGTAAAACGCGAATTTAAGCAGTAGTAGAGTAGTAGATTCGGCATCAAGAGAATTGTTTCACTACGTGATTATGCTGTTAAGCGATCAAAAGAGAGAGAGAGAGACACACGCTTAAATTCGCACAATTCGCACATATATACGTGGAGAGACCACAGCTGGCAATTCGAGTGCGCAGTCACGCGACGTAGATTCATTGAGACGGCGTGGATGGAAGTGGCCCGCGTGTTATACCTACGATCGTGTTCGGAGTTCCAGACGCGCGCGTTAGATCGCGAAAGTCGCCAAGCCAGCACTGACTTCTATCCACGGTTTTATAGCGGCCGCCAACCGAGTATATCACGTGGCACGCGCTTTTGTCGGTGTTGCGTGTTTCAATGCAGCGACATGACGTCCCGTGCGGAACGCGTTGTCACTGCTCCGCTGTTTCTTGCTAAACCGTTTTGTGCCGCTGTCTCGCGTGGGTGGTTGCAAATCGCAAGAGAAAGAAAGACAGGATGACACATGGGACGTGCTCTTCAAACATTTCGCACACTGTGTACACGTAGCATAAGCTTCGAATCGCTTCCAATATAGTTCGACGGTTTTTCAATGGTTTCGGATAATTTTGAAACTCGAGTCTTGCAGATGCAATGCCTTGGGAATTTTTGGCATAGAAAGATCTATTAAAGAAATGATATATTTTATATTTTATACGCGCGAGGTAAATGAAATGAGCTGATTTCCAAGTTCCACAACTTACCAAGAATTTCGCAGTCATATCCGAAGCGACTCGAATTTGCACGCCGTAGTATTGAGAAATCGTTTCGAGATCAAAATTGATCAGGATACACGCTTGATCTAGTAACACATTTAATACAAATTCATGCGTACAGCGTGCAATTAGCGTGCTAGTGCGTCAATAGGGAAAGAGCCAAGTATACTGTCCGACAAACTATGTTAATAAAATGCAATAAAGCTGCGAAAAGAATAGAATTGATTAACAGAGATAATCGATCCGGCACGGTATTTGTGTGTAAACGTGACGAGTAATTAATATCCAAACAAAAGAAGAATATTCGATCGCTGCAGTAATACTGAAAATTTTCAGTCCAACAATTTCAATGATAAATTAAATTCTGAAAATTTCATAAACCATAAAAAAATTTTGTTAAACGACTTCTATAAAATAAATGAATTAATGAAAGAGTTTCATCAATCGAGAATTTGAATTTGAAAAATCTCGAACCTGAAGTCGAGCAGTCGAATCGCTTACAACAATATCGACGATTCGATTCGCACCCTTTCATTTGCCGGGAACCAAGTGTTTAAATTCATTACGCTCTATTTTCAGTCAATTATTTACGTTCCAATTTACTTGCCCACTTATTATAAAGTTAATGAGTAGCTTCCTTAAAAAAAAAAGTGGAACTGGCTCTTATCCCCCATCGTGAACGCTAATCAATAGCAATTTCCTTAAATCAAGTCGAACGGTAAAGTAGAACGCTTTAAATGCTTCTTGATTTACAAACAGAGGTTAACGACATGGATTCACGTGACCAGTGCACCAATGCTCGTTAAACACTTGCATATCGGATCGACGCTGTTGGTAACGACAATAAATTTACTTAACAATTAATTAAACGATTCGCAGCCAGTAATCCCAAAATAGAAAACCGCAAGCTTCTCACTAAAACAAGCAAAGGAATTTTAATATTTCATGCCTTCCATCACTAGTTATTAACTTAAATAAATGCGAGAAACTCCCTTTTCCTTCGACTCATTGTCAACTGCCCTACTTAGTCCTACTTTAACTACAAAAAAGAAAATATATATATATATATATTATGTATATATATATATGTGTGTGTGTGTATGTTGTATATATATGTATATATATTATGTATGTATATATGTATATGTGTGTATATATGTATATATATATTACGTATATATATGTGTATGTATATATGTATATATGTATATATATGTATATATGTGTATATATGTATATATGTATATATATGTATATACGTATATATATGTATGTATGTATATGTATATATTATGTATGATATATATGTATATATATATATATATACACGTATTACGTCAGCGATCGTTAATGTGTTAATGGAAACATAAAACCTATTATGAAAAATTATTAAGATTAAACATTACGTAGCTATTTCAGAGTTCAAACAAAGGCGTAATGCATAATTGCATTCAAGATGGGTTGAATCCAATTATGCACAGCATGCATCAACATAACACAAACACACAACACGAAGAATAAAGGATGTTTACGCAAAATAGATCTTACTTTTCCGTTGGGCTTGTAGCACGCTCTGACGTCTACCATATTGTTCAATAAAGTATGAGTGTCATCCACGCCGTCCAGGCCCAATTTCTCCACGAATTCCTCCCTCGTGCGTATCATTTCCCAATTCGCGATATTATGTCCCATAGAAGAGCTTTCGGATCGTTTCGTATTGTCCACCTCCGACAACCGTACACTTCCAGCCGACAAACAAAAATTTCCCTCTCTCTCTCTCTCTTTCTCTCTTCGCTCGTACGTGGTCGGCAAGTATATATTCAAATATGTATTTTCGTAACCCTCCTCGTAATATTTTCCAACCTCGTCGTTACCAAGCTCTCTGGTCTACCTAAACGTCAAACAGGAAGAGTACATACTCACAGAACGTGAATGAACAATAACGAGCCACGTGCGAGCCCTTCCGTCTGCAGATTTCGTAATCCACTCACTGAACCCGGTCGCACATGCACACGGCGTATCGATTTTGACGTGCGTGCAACATGTAAACACGAGAGCACGCCACTCGACCGCTCCGACGTCTCCGTGGGTACCGCAAATCGAACAAATATCACAGTTTTTGTCAAACCGACGAAACAGCGAAGCACACGTTCTTAGAACAAATGCAGAGCATTGCTACATCGTCGAGCAACTCGTGAGTAGAAAGCGCAACCTTTTCGCAGTAATGCTTCGTTAAACGACCGTAAGTTGGGAACTATTCGGTCAGATATCAGAGGAGCTACATTTCTATGAAATCTCGATGGCTCTGGCATGTTGCTTCGGTGTAAACGCACGTACCGGTGAAATTAGGTAAATTAAGATTAAAATGTCAAAGTGAAAAGTATACGAAGAAAACGTAAAAAAAAAAGACGCAAGAGAAAGAAATGGAAAAGAAGATATTTTCTGACAGCATTGAGGTATTGAATAATACCCGCCCGATTGATCTAACCGCACCTAAAGCCGTACATATCTCGTAAACGTACAGAAGTCCATTATATTAGTTTCTTTTGAAATAACGATTTATCATAAAACTTTCGGGACTTTCAGAACGCGAAACGTGTAAACTTTGACGTTTGACCGGTTTAAAAATCTCACTGTGCTTCTTTCACCGATCGGTAATCGCCAGAAACTGACTTTGGAAAATTAAAATCCCCGGTGGGGATAGCGACGGCCAATAAACGCAAACAGAATTTTGGTCAATTAACGCGACACATTTGTTCATTTGATATACGTATACGACAATCGGAGGCTCAAGCTTGAAGAACTAGTGGGAATAGGAACGGTCAGTTAACGGAGCAATATCGCGGCCAGTTAATGCGACACCACTGTACTCACCGACTGCGCACCTTATTGTGTATCCTTCGTCGCCTCCTGAGTCTGGGAAGAAGAAGGGGGCGACGAGCACGCTCTACAGGCTATCCAAAAAGTCGTGTACCGGCATTAATATTTATTTGCAAGCCGACGGGAACGAATGAAAATGAATTGGCGAAAAGGTCGAACGCACTCTGTTACTTTCGATTTTAGATGTTTCAGCATTTGTAGTCCTTTCAATACAGCAGCGACTATTTTCGTAGAAGCACGCGAGTTAAGCCGGCTATCGACACCGCATGACGTACAATAATCGAATGTTTTTGTAGATTTTACATGATCGTTCGTAGAAAAAAAATCTGTCTTGCGGCAAAAGGAGAGAGTGCGTCATGGAACAACTTTAAAGTTCGCGGTCAGTGTGCACACAATCGTGTAGAAACGCAGTCGGTTTAATCTGATGTAACACTTGTCAGGCGTCACTCACCATTTCATCCGTCTAACACCGATTTACATATCGATTTTGGAGCGTACTGCAAGCACGCCGTGATGGAAGGCGGTCCGCTCGAGAAACGGTGTATGTAAGACAACCTACTGACTGGCCACTGGACTTAAATGAATGCATTATGAATCAAAATCCTACGAACGTATTCCTAAATATAATGAATATGCATACGTCAATCAATTATAAGAGATATCGAGTAGTTCACAAATTTTTGTTAAATTTAAGCAAATATTTTTATAAGAAATAAATATATATTGTTTCCTTTTTCTTCTCAAAAATGTAAGCAACCTGAGAAAATAAAGAGAAATATTGTAAATTATTTCGAAAGCTGTTTACTCCCGCTTGTGATGTACTGTTACTGCATCGTTATTTTACATCTACATACATCCACCAATGAGTCAAGTCAGGACAGGTAAATAAAACCACGTGATTAAAATCTAGGGGAAATATCATGGAATTTGCAATCCCCGCATATTAAATTGTGAATATGACATTGAAAAACTTGTTAGACTAGATCGAGTAAATATGTTTCTTATACCTTAACCAAACGTACTAAGTTTAATAGCTCTATTTAAATATTTTCTACAGTAATACAAGTACCTCTGAAGATCATAATTCACTAGCAAACTACTAGTAGTTAAAACATCACGTGACCAATTATGTTTACTTCACCTGATACGGAATCATTGACGCAAATGCTAGATGTTTGAACATGTACGCACGTTTAAATTGTTTAGTTAGGTTATGTAGTATGTAAAAAATGTTTGATTAAAACATTTTTACTTTAGCATCATTTAGAAAGTGACTTCCAATACGTTTGAGCAATACTTCAATGATGGGTTCCGATCACATGCATAGACGATGGAGTAATTTACGAAAAGTATTAGAAAGATCTGGTCCCTTTTGTAGACCGGATTTCGAACCATCGACAGAAACATTGCAATTCTTGTTAGACAATTGTAAGATTCTTGTCATTGGGGCCGGTGGTCTAGGATGCGAATTACTTAAAGATTTGGGATTGATGGGATTTAGACAGATTCATGTAATTGATATGGACACAATTGAATTATCTAACCTTAATCGGTATAAAAAATATAGATGATTCATCGAAAGAATTGATCAAAATTTTTGTTAAAAAGAGATAAATAAATTAATCAAAAAAAAATTGCAGGCAATTTCTCTTCCGTCATAAAGATATCAGTTCGTCAAAAGCAGAAATAGCTGCAAAGTTTATTAATAATAGAATACCAGGCTGCAATGTTATATCACATTGTTGCAAAATACAGGATAAAGCTGAAGAATTTTACAGACAATTTCATATTGTCATTTGTGGTCTAGACTCAATAATTGCAAGAAGATGGATCAATGGTATGCTCTTGTCTTTATTAGTTTATGAAGATGGAGAACTTGATCGGTCCAGTGTAATACCAATGATTGATGGAGGAACAGAAGGTTTTAAAGGAAATGTAAGAGTGATATTACCTGGTCTAACTGCTTGTATTGAATGTACTTTAGATTTATATCCTCCTCAGGTAAATAAATAAATATACTTTCTTTTGTATTAACATAAATATAACTTTTTTTCTTAAACTATTTTTGTTTTTTTGTTGAAATGCAGGTAACATATCCATTATGTACAATAGCAAATACTCCACGTTTACCAGAACATTGTATAGAATATGTGAAAGTAATTCAATGGCCAAAAGAAAATCCATTTGAGTGTGCAATAGATGGAGATGATCCCCAACATATAAATTGGATTTATGAAAAGTCTATTGAGAGGGCAGCTCAATTTGGAATACAAGGCTTAACATATAGATTAGTACAAGGTGTAGTTAAAAATATTATACCTGCTGTGGCATCTACAAATGCTGTTATTGCTGCAACATGTGCTACTGAAGCATTTAAACTCGCTAGCAGTTGCAGTGCTTCACTGAATAATTACATGGTATTTTCTGTTATTTTTGACTTAAATTGAAACTCTAGGAATGCAATAAGTAAATAAATTCTTTTGTAAAGGTACTCAATGACATAGATGGAATTTATACTTACACTTATGAAGCAGAAAAGAAAGAAGATTGTGTGGCATGTAGTCAAGTTCCAAAAGAAATTGAAATTAATAGCCCTAAATTCAAACTGAATGATTTGATAGAACTTTTGTGTGAAAAATCTGATTTGCAAATGAAAAATCCAGGTCTCACAGCGTACATTAATGGGAAAAATAAAACGTTATATATGCACACTGTAGCAAGTATTGAAGAGAGAACTCGTGAAAATCTAACAAAAACGCTGGTCGAACTTGGACTTAGAAATGGTAGTGAGATAAATGTCGCTGATATTACTAGCCCTAGTGCGATTGTGTTAAAATTAAAATTTGTATATTGTAATTCAGATATGTAATAATCAAAAAATCCTTCATTTCGTTTATAAATTTATGACTACAAATCATTATATATATTTACAGTACTTATATTGCTTTTCTTGTCAATTTAAAAAATAATGTTGACATAAAATTCGTCGACATTATTCTTATCGAAATAATAAAAACGAAAACATCTTCGATGTAATGTCATTTTTTACCGAATTTATAAATAGATATCACACGATAACATTACTTTGAACATTATTTTTAATATATTGATTCGTTCTAATTTGATGTAATTAACTGGTATTGCTATTTATTTATTTTTTTTTTTTATATGGTACTAGTCCTCTTGATTATCCTTATATATAACAGAAGCAAGTATTAAAACTATATTAGTTTCTATGACATACCTGTTATATTAACAATAAAGACACAGTTGCAAATATGATTCCTGATGTGATTCTGATGTTTCGTTTCTCACTTTCATCAGAGATTATATATCATAGAAAAATTAGTGAGTTATATTATTCATAAAATTCTATGTTTTTCGATCATTACTTTTTAATCAATAAGTTTCGTGTACGTTCTAAATTTCGTTTAGAAATAGACAGTATCTTACAGATCAATATATTAGTACGACTATTTTGAAAGAGAAAAAAACGAGCAGTTTAATAATTCGCGAAATATGCACGTGTCAAAATCGATACTTGTTAGCTTGTCATTAATATCTTTTTAATAACAATTTCTTTCATATTATATTAAATTTTATGTTAAGTATGAATTTTGTGCACAGTCCTTTTTTGCGTTATATGAACACGTTATTGATGACTTATTTGTAACAATGGATTTTTTCATACCTTTTTCCACCTATTAATGTTTAGTATTTCGTTAAAATCTTCATTAAGAAACATATCATATAGATCTTTCCATATTTAGTTTTTACTTTACTTTATTTTTAAATATATGGAAAGATACTTCAATTAGAGCAAATGAAGGACAGTGCACGATGATCCAAAACGTCTTTTGTTTTACAAGCACACTCGGTAACATTCGACATATGCACAACTTGAGTAGAAAAAATATCTAGAACAAATACATTATCTATCTTCCTTATATAAAACTATTATTACATTGTATCAATAATTTATAATTTTTGCCTCTTTACCTCGATAAGACGAATACTCCCCAAGAATCTTTTATTCTTAATTTTTTTTCTTTTTTATTTAAACGTGAATAACATAAAATGCTCCTAAATGATAGTCTGAATATTTAGTGTTGAGTCAAACTGAATAAGAATAAAATATTTTTTAACGGTTGGGGAATTCTTACAACGAAACAGTTCGAGGTTCATTGGCATTTCATTGTTTATACGGAATTTCAATGTAGACATTCTCATTCCAATTGTACAATTCAAAATCAGATATTTCTTTTTTTATAGTACGAATTATTCATTTACTAGAGACGAGAACTGCGTAAAACCAGCTAGTGCAAAACCAGCATTAGCGTCAAAATAAGTTGCGTTGTGTTTGGCAGTGCATTCAAAAATTGTAGAACGTATGAACTATGACTCTGTCAAAAGTAGCTTTTCGTTAACATAATTAATATCGGACAGTTTTTTTCGATAATCCAAAAACATTTACAAAATCAAAATTCTATTTTATTGTATTCTACTCTGAAAGAGAAACATTGAATATGAATGCACGTGCGATTTACTTTTTCTTTCAACTGATTCAAGTCACATAACACAATCATTATGTTCCGACCATTTTCGGAACAGAGTTTACGTATTTGAAATGAAATACATTAGTTGTAAAATGTCTTATAAATAATCATTGTTCAATGTATAATAATACCATGGTCCATGAAAAGAAAGTCTGATATAAAAACGTAAGTGTCAATAAGTGATGGCATAATAAGTGTCGTAAAGTCCGATTTGTTCAGGGCAGAATTCGACACTTTTTTTTACCGAAATCTAGATTTACATAAATACAGTTATGTAATCAAATGGAAATATAGATGCGAGAAAATTAGAACGATTAGAACGAATTTATGAATTGCATCTCAACAAAGAGACACGTATTTAAAGTATGATAAAGTTGAAAAGTGTCTAATTTCTGCTCTGAAGCTGCTCAACAAAGGATAACGCAATGTGCATGTTAATACGTCATAGAGAACGCTAAAACGGTTGTGTTAGGCCTTGGCATCAACTTCCATTGCCACTTCACCTGCAGCTTTTTCAGCTCTCTTTCTCATCCTCTTTGCAGTCCTCGGATTTACCGAGGTGTACAAAAGGGTCTGTTACAAAGTAATTAATTAATTAATAACGAAACTATAAAAAATTAAAAAAGCGAACGAATAATTCATACCTTCAATTCAGGATCTTTAACAGCATATTCAGATTGATAAATGTCTAGATCTAAAGGAATTCCTGTAATTTTGTGTTGCCGATTATGCATTAATAGTACTGTAAATTTGAATTGTGCAGCAAATTCATTTGGTTTTTCGTACAACACCTATATACAATAAAGATGCAATGACATAAAACTCTCTGAATTTAAGAATTATATGTATAAATATGTACATAAACTCACTTGGAATGGTTCAATCAACCTATGATTTACACATTCCACAACAGCCATTTTTGCCTTTTTCTCATCCTCGAAAGTACGTAAATTAAATGGCATAAGACCATGTTTATGAGTGACTTCAGAGTAAAACATGCGTGACGCTTTCAATTTTAATTGATATGTTTCCTCTGTTTTTTTAAATATAGTAACCCGAGTGTCCTGTTCTCTACCTACACCCTCACCAGTACTAACCAACACATCCATGGCATATACCTATAAATAAAATAGTTCATATATATTACTAATAAAACTTTTTTCTATTCTAATTAATTACAAAATATATTACGTAAAATGAATTATACCTCATAAGCTTCAAGAGTATATTTTTCATGTTCTTTTTTCTGTGCATCATTTGGATTTTGAATAATAGTTTTTTCTCCATCTATTTTAAATTGTTTCAATTGATGACTTAACATTCCTTCAATTGGTTTACATTTGTATACATCACAAATCTTTTCTACTGTTTCAGTTATCGTGTAAGTCTGTAAACAGAAAAAAAAATTATAAACATGAAAAATGTTAAATTTAAACAATTTATAAGTACAAAGATATAGAATGTATATATAACTTACCTCTGTACCTGGCTGTAAGAGCCTTAGTGCAGCTTGTGAAGCGTAGTGTGCAGCTAACACTACATCTGCTTTTCTACCAGTAACTTTTTTTTGTGGTGAAGAACCTATAACAATCGTATGTGCCACAACTGCTATGAAGCCATCAACATGTGCTCCAAGATCTCTAAAAATAGAAGTTAGTAATTACTTTAAAAAATGGAAACATGGTAAGTTACATTTTATAATAGTGAACGTTATTTATGGATCATAAACTTACACTTTTACCATATCCTCATCTTTGAGTATGAGATCTGGTTCGCTAGCAATTGGTGAAAAGTGACATATACAATTGTTGACCGATATGCATGTAGGAAAAGCAATTCCCTTCTTTAGCTCTTTTTCTTTCTTAAACACCTTGCTAGTTTCATCCAATATCAGTTTATCTCCAAACTCACAAATTTCTCTTACTGATGCTCCAGTGACACATTTGTCCAAAACTTGTTTTAATACCCCTAGAATTAAATCATTTATTATACATAACTGTTATTATATACTTTAAACATTAAATCAGATTTATAAAATATATACAAAGGCACACACATATTTATACAAGTTTGCATATTAATAGATATATAAATGAGTCATTGATTCTAAATATTTATTTTTTTATCGACTTGTACAAATAAAAAGAGAAGAAGAAGATATTACTATGTCAAGATAAAATATCAATATGTTCTTAAAGTATATATATTTCTAATATGTTCTACCTATAGTACCTAGAGTAGAGATAGAGATCCACAAAGGATTCAAGTATTTTTGATAATGTATACATATGTTTTATATTTTTCTTTTTAAAACTTTCATCTGACATGTAATTTTTTCACAAATTTAAAAAATGCTAGAATATTGTAATTCTAATTTTGAACAATGTAAAAAAATTAATTTAAAATATTTTTGGAAAGTTACAATATTTTATATCTTTTAAATATTGCGAAAGATAAAACTTTGGATTAAAAATTACATTTTTAAAAAATGTAAGGTATATTTAGGGTACATGTAATGTAAGCATAATTGTATATATAAGATAAGTTTGAATTTTTTGTAACTTTATATCTTTATAATCATTAATTCATAAAATTTATATTTATAAAATATTCTCTCTCTTTTGTTACATGCAATATTTGAATGTAATCCAACAAATTCGTATGGATAATTTTGTGAATATTTAGAATACAGATCTTTTTACTTATTATATATAATATAAAGTAACATCACAACTAAACATGGTACTAGAGTAATAGCAATAAATTCTAACATAAAATCAAGCTAATCACACAACGCAAAAAGTTTTGTTAAATATGCATCTGGCTGGTCTTCTTATGGAAATGGAAACACACTGAGACAAGAATATAAGCGGATTATGGTTTTTCTAGCAAGATTGTTACGCTACGATAATGAAATGAAACGTATGATTTTTTAAGCTATGTGATGAAAAAATATTAATTCGTCGTCGATCGTTCGTTAGGAAAATAGAAAATAGTGAAAATATCGATATGTTAGTAAAATGTGATAGTCAATGCCAGCTATCCCACATGGTAAGGGAGCCCGGCATTAGCGCGCCACATTCCATATGGCCAGGCGGAAAATAAGACATTAAAAGACTCGTAAATGAATCGGGCAATTCCATTTTTATTCATTTGACTTCATAAATAAATGTTAAGTCGTTTTCTTACGATTTACGATGTCACCGGCCATTTTATACTTGGTGACAACGATGTCTTCGGCGATGGTTCTCTCAGTTTCTTCTTTGTCCGCCATGTCTTCGGTACACTATGTTACGATCACGTGACTTAGAGCTTCTTTGCAGTTGCTTCCTGCTAAACGATCAGCGCTATCTTAAATAAATCATGCGTTCCGAAATTCTCTACTAATCTTTTAATCAAAAATGCCAGATAAACATATATCACACTGATAACACAAATATCACTCTGATATTTTTGATATTTTCTTTATTTTTACAAATATTTCTTTCTATTGTAAATTATATTTTAGGGAACATGATATTACTATACATATTCTTATTTATTTTTGAATCTTTTAATTGTAACTAAATTCAATATAAAAGTTCAATAAATTTGCAAAGATCGATCGATTTTTTTATTAAATTTTTATTGAAATTTTTATTTAATAATAAAAACAAATAAACATTTTTAGTCATTTTGTTCTGTTTAAAACAATACAAAATTTATATATTTATATATTTCAAAATTTATATATTTCATTTACTTGGAATATTTGCAGAAATACATAAATACATAAATCTCGACTTTTGTAACGTACAAGGTTGGTCGACTTGCATCTTTTTGAAACATGTTTCATGCCTTATGGATCCTGAGGTTGGTCGTGTGATCTATTGGAACGCGGATTTGATTTGCATTACTTTAAATTTAAATCGTAATTATGTCTTCAGGTAAATTATCCCATGGAATAAAATTAAATTACTGTTATTACGCTCGCTCGGGAATATTTTTAATATGAGAAACCTCGATATTATTAAAATTTTACCATTTTTTATGTAACATAACCAAACTTCTTGCGAAACGCAGCATGCTTTCAATATTGCGTTTTTGTATATTGAAAATTGTTGTAAAAAATACTGATTTTCTTGTGTGTATATTTGTACCAGGCAAGAAAGGGAAAAAGAAGAAGTGCAAAACGGTCGATTTAATGTCATTCCTGGCTGATGGGGGTGGAACACCCACTGTGCCAGTTAAACCATTGACTAGCTGGATTGATGAAATGGAAGAAGAACATGGTAAAATATATTTACGTATTCTTTTAGCTTCTCTACATTTTTTTATTTTTAAGATCACATTTATGTTTGAACACTTATGTATGTATGTATATATATACGTATATATTGCATATATATATGTACATACATGCATGTACACACATCCGTGAGCACATGCACACATATGCATACATACTTATATTTATTTATACATATAGGTAAATATGTAACATGTGTAAAATTAGGCATCGCTTATTATGAAATCATAAAATATTTAAAAATTCTAAAGAATCATAAATACATGTAAATATTATTATGACAGAAGGTTTTTCATCAAGAAGTAGTAAAGAACCAGTGATTCTACCCACTGCTCCGAGAGCTGCAAGAGGACCCCGGGTTGCAGATGAAGATATTCCTTCTAATCCACCATATGTAGCATATCTTTCTAATCTTCCTTACGAAGTGGACGAAGTATATCTAACAGAATTTTTTTCAAACATGAAGGTTAGTATCTCAAGTATTTATTTTTATCAAGTAACGTTACAGAATTGGTGTAACTAACTCCAATTATTATTATTTATTAGATTTCTAATATACGTTTACCAAAAGATTCTAATAAACTTAAAGGGTATGGATACGTTGAATTTGAAGATCGTCAAAGTTTAATTGATGCTCTTTGTTTATCTAATACAGTAAGTATTTAAATGTTTTAAAATCTGAAGTATTTCAATTACAATGAAGCAATTATATATGAATTATTTTCTAGCCTATGAAAACAAGAAGAGTACGAATTGATATTTCAAATAGTGTTAATGATGATCGTCGTGGAGGTCGAATGGGCCGAGATAATCGTAGAGATAATGATTATGATTCTGAGCGTATGTCTGGAGATTGGAGGAGTGGTCCAAGAGATGAAAATCTAACATCAGATGGAGATTCATATCGGAATCGATATGATAACAGAGATCGAAGAGATGACCGTGAAAGTATATATTATGATTCTTACATATATTTATAATTAATTGATAGAAAATTATACAATTAATATGTTTATCAATTATAGGTGCTGACTATGATAATAAACCAGGTGCATGGCGTGAAAGTAGTGACAGAGCGAGACCAACGTTCAGAGACAGAGGCGGTTTCAAAGACGACGAAAAAGATAGAGAATGGTCTCGCTATGACAGAGGTAGCAGAGATCGAGAGGGAGACAGAGGAAGTAGTTTTGGTCCGCGACGTAATTATGGTGATTCTGATTGGGATCGCGATGGCCTACGTAGGCAAGGAAAGCCCCCTATAGATAATAAATGTGAGTGTTGCTCATCTTTATAATAAATAAAATGTATAAAGGATTTCTATTTTTTAACTAAAAAATATTAAATATTAAATATTATAGCTGAATTAAGGACTAGGCCGAAATTACAGCTACAACCTCGTACTAAACCAATTGATCCTATTGTTGTGAAAGAAGAGCAGCAATCTGCAGCTCCACCTGCTGCTACACCCGCTTCTTCGACAAATATATTTGGTGCTGCAAAACCTGTAGATACCACTGCTAGGGAAAGGGAAATAGAGGAACGGCTTGCGAAATCATACGCCGAGTCAAAATCCAAAGAAGATGGGTAAGTTTGAACGTATATTTGTTTAAAACATAATTAAAATAATTAAAATATAATTAAAACATAATTAAATTTGATTGTTCTTTTAGAGAAAAAGAACGTAGTTCTAAAGAAGGTACTTGGGGCAAACGTAATGGAGTAAGTTCATTGTGTAAAATTTCATAACGTATCAGGTTGCATCATTTTATTTATCATGTATTTATTACTTTTATCAGGAGGGTCGGGAAGAAAGAGAAAGGGGTCGACAAACGTGGCGATCGGAAGATGATAGAGGCCGACGAAACGAAAGATCAGCACCACGAAGTCAACCTGCTTATCCTGGTAAATTTAAATTAATGTAACTAATATAATTGACTTAAGATAATTTATGACGTGATACAATGCTTTTTTGATAACTTAGATCAATATGGAGAGTCTAAAGGTCAACCTGTTTCTCGTGGCGGACGACCATCGTCTAGAGGTCCTCCAAAATCAAATGATACTCGTGGAGCAGACAGGTAACATGATCATGCAGAAAGGTTCGAAATAAAATTAAACGTATGTGTGTTAATTGTATTATCTTTGCAGAGATCGAAGAGATAGAGAAAAAGATGTCAGTAGAATGCCAAAAGCAAAGGATGAACAAGCTCCAGTAAGTGAAAGATTTTTTAAACTAATCTTGATAGTAATTATAAATGATGTCTTTCCGTTTCAGAATTTTGTAGCTTCCAACAAGTATTCCATGTTACCTGATGATGTGGATCCCGACAATATCGATGATTAGTCCTAATCATTATACATCACCAATTAAATTGTGCCACATGCATCATAATTGGTCTATATATTCATATTATTAATTTGTTTTATCTCTATTAAATACTTATCGAATTGATTCATAAATCAAACTCTAAGCTCTTGGTATTACTTTACAAGAATTATTGTTAATTTATATTTAATCTATTTTATTACTCGTAATATAATTACCTATCTACATATGTATTTACTTTATATTTCGATATGAATGTTCAATCGATCATTAAATCGATGTTAAAATTCGGATAACTTTAAAGAATTACACTGATTTTTTAAATATTTAATTCTGAAGATAATTACATCTATAAGACTTAGGAATTGGGACTTTATACGTCATATTTTATCCACTGTACAGTTATTGTACAATATGTAACTCATTTACATGTAAAATAATGCCAATTTAGGAGGAAAACAATTAAAATAATAAGTGTAATGGGAATTTGAGTGATGTATTATATTCTATTGCTTGGAATTCAATATTTCACAAAATCGTTGATTATAAAAAGGAGTAATTGCAACATAATTGAACATCGAAAGATTGATACCATAAAATAAGCACGATAAAGTCTAAGCCATAACATAGCATAGAAGTCACTATATTAATAGTCATCGTATCATGACAATATAAGGAAGCATATATGACTGAACAATAAGAATTTTGTTACAATCATTTTATTATAATAATGTTTCTAAATAATTATGCTCTAAACATATTTATATATATATTAAAAATTATCTATTTACAATCTTTTTTTGAAATATGTACATACTGACTTAATTTCCATTTACTGCTGAGTAGTTTGTGCTAATTGGCGTAACTGTTTCAATACAGTCTCTAAAAGTTTTTTCTTATCCCGTTCGCTTTTCTTTAATACAGAAAATACTGTTTTTTTGTCAGATTCTTTTAATCTGCAAGTATAATATGTTTAAAATGTAAATATTAATAAGGTAGGACAGTATTACATGAAATGAAAAAGCATGGTACATACTTCTCTAACAAAAGTACAGCCATGTTTGGAGTCACAAGATGATATTTACTTGATTCATGACCATAGTCATGAAAATAAGTAGGCCAGTCCCAACTCATAAATAAGTCTAGTAATTGTCTTAATTGTGCAAAATGTTGAAGTAAGGTACCTTCGGGTAAACCAGAAACAGGTTCCGAGGCAGCAAATTCTAAAAATTAAAAGATTTTTTTCTAATTTATGTTTGAATCAATTCAATATCGCTACAAAATATTTTGTAACCATATATTGTACATCTTATTTAAGAATAAAAAACGGAAACACATACGCTCGCATTGTATTGTATCTAAATTAACTTGTTGAAGAGCACCCATCGATATTTGTTTTACATCGTCACTAATTAATATTCCTAATATAGATTTCGCTATATGAGAACAAGCAGACTGACAGGCAACTTGTGCAACCTCATCCTAAAATATAAACATTCGCTTTAATTTTTATATTTTAAATATTTACAAAAATTTATAATATGATTAAGATGTACCGGTAGATTAGTAAAACAAGTAAAAGTACTTTGCAGAAACGCTATGAGATCGGTAATAAAACCAGACGCGTGCCCTTGAGGTTCTGCCAAATTCCAGTCGTAATTTTCTAATTCTAAAAATTCATCAAGTTTATTCTTTAATTTCTCACAGATTTGTTTTTCAGCGTCATCCCTCGCAACTCTAAACATAGTTGATTCAACACCCATACTACTTAGCTGTCCTTCATGTGGGGTTCTGAAAAATTATTAGATGATATATGTATGATATATATATATATGTATATATATAGAATAAAATAAATATTCATAATTTATTTACTTAATTTACCCGGTAATATTAGATACAAATTCTTCTAAATATTTCGTAGATTTTTCAAGGTAGCCGGTATTTATTATAATTTGAACCACTTGTAGAAGAGCCAATGATGGTTTTCGAAATAATGATGATAAGCATCCGCTAAATGTCCTTGTTAATAATAAATTCGTCGATTTACAGATCATTTCGTCTATTTCTGTTTGAGTGAAATTTAAATCTTCTGAAAATTTTAAACAAGCATAGATGAATTCTTTTACTTGTTGATAAACTTTTGGTACCATATCCGAGAACGGAAATTTTTTAGGAAATTCTACTTTCTGTAATTCTTCGTCATGGTACGGAAACAAATCAAGAACATTATCATATTCTTCCTGCGTTGTAACCTAAAATATATCAGTGTGTAAAATGTATAATAGTTTTGTAATGTAAATGAATATACCTGAATTGGTAAAAAACTATCTTCATCCAAAATGTCTCTAAACACTTGAACCCAATGTTGCATAAGTACTTCATTATAATGTACTCGAATTTCTTGTAACAAATCCCAAAGTTGGCCTACGGAATACCCATAATTCTGTTTCCAAAAAAAGAAAAAAAAATTAAAAAATACTAGTAAAGTGGCAATACATTAAGTTACTTACTCTTAACGTTGTATTGAACAACATTATAAGGTTTTTTATTTTTAATATAAGTGTCGCATCCGTGCAGTAGGCCTAAAAATGATAAAAAAAAATTATAATATTTATTCACATAAATTATTTAACAATAATTTCCTTATTACTTACGGAATGTGTACGTAATGCATTCACGATTGTTGATAATGCCATTTGCCATAACTCATCTAAATAAGCACGCGTAGCTAAACCATTGCCAGTATTTAAAATATGATCTTCTACAACAAAAAATCCTACAATGCCTTGTAAATATGTTTGATAACCAGTTATGCTTTCATGCTGAAAATACAAAATGAGAAATTGAATTAGAAGTATGAAAAACTTATTGCATTAATAATGAATAATATTCACCATATTAATAGGTGATTGTAAAACTAATCTAGCTTGCTGTTTTCTTTGTTGTCTATAGTATGCTTTAAATGTTTCTCCTTCACGAAGCACAGTATAAATATGCATACAACGATAAACAGGACTAAAATCCATTAAATCTTGAGCACTTAATTCTTCTTCTGACTCATTTGATAAAGAATTTGTTGTATGTAATTTCTTCTTTTTTCTACCAATAATCTCTGCTTCAACGGTTAATTGTTCTTGTGTCTAATAATAAAAATAAGTCAATGTATTTTTTGCATAAAGATTAAATCTTTACACAGAATTTCTTACTTACATGTCTCATAGCAACTTCACCAATTTTTGGTGAATATTTCCTAATATTTTCTAAAAAGTCTCTTAAATCAGACATGGAAGCATCTTTTATATTTTCACGTAGTCTAAAATTATTGTAATCTATCAATCACTTAATGTAAATTACTTTTTAGTTACATTTTACTATAAAAGTAAATGGTTTTTTATCTTATGACATTACTCACTGTGGAATTTGTTGAGTAATTTGTGAAGAAAATCTGTAATTTGTTACTTTTGGTAAGTCATGATGTTCTAGCTGCTCCAACGTTTTCAAAGCTGGATAATAACGTTTGTCTTTCAGCTGTTTTTGTAACTTTGCATAGGCAGCTAAAACAGGAAGACACATAGTGAGACTATCTACTGCTGCAGCCATATTACTCTCTACTTTGCGTGCTTTAACAAGTTCCTCTCCTTTTTCTATTACTTTGGTAGCAGTAGCAGTAATACATCTATCAAGTTCTAATATCTCGGCCTATAAAACAGACATTTCAGTCAAACCATATTATCCTACTTATTAGATTAGAAGATCAATTTTAAGATGTAAACTAACATTAAGTTGTTGTGCTTGAGATCTGACTTGCAAGAGTTCTCTGATTGAATCAATGAAACCTTGATAATGATGATTGCACATTCTTTCAATATCTTTGTCATGTGCCTTGATACGCTCATCAAGTTTTTCCATAAATTTTTGATGTTCGTGGCCATTGTAGATTGCTCTAGAAAAAAAAGAGAATAAAAGGAATAATATTTGTATCAGTTTCTATGTTTTATTTCTCTAGTTTTCTCTTCTCAGTAAGCAACTGGCAGTAATAATACCTGAAAACAAGACCTATACTATTAGTATCTGTAGATTCTATTTCATATAACAAATATTCGTGCTTTGGAACCATAGTTGACACTAGATTGTCAACTTGGTTAGTTGACAACCTTGACATAATGGTACCCTAATTTAATTTTTCTTTATGCTAGTATAGGGTATCCATCCCCGTTTTCAACCCTTCGAATGCGCATATGCACGATACATGTTGCATCTGCGTGAAGGGATGCCACCCGGAAAGCGCGATTTTCGACGAAAATTTTCATCGAAGGGCGAATGTTTAATCAAGCTTACGTACCGAAAAGTCGGTCCCAAATAATCGTCTATGCCTTCTATTTCTTGGATAAGAAGATCGTATCGCTGCATCTCGATTAAATCCATTGATAAATCAAATAAAAAAAACGTCAACAATTTTCAGCAAATGAATTTGTGCGCCCTATATCAGTATATACTACTAAGATTGGATTATATTCTATTCGTTGTTTAACAATGAATCATGTTACGTACGAAAACTCTCCAATTTAATTATGACATTTCTGTTAATATTCTTAGTGTTATTCGAATAACATTGCCAATATCATTAAAACTGCCATCTTTGTTAAACTATGCAAGTGCACATGATGTTACACTATACACATTTATTATGTTTTATGCATACATATGTACAAAATATTGTGCAAACGTGATAATATACAGTGGTGAACTACATACGGTATAAAATATTTACACATATGGCAATTACTACGATATATAAATTTTAAATAAATTCTATAAATTATTTGTGATAAATTATATTTAGTTTAATTTAATTGCATATGCCAATGCATATGCCAGTTGAAAGTTAGAGAAGTAAATTTTTTGAAAAAATATTTGTGATTATTCATTTAGTAAATACTTTATCACATCAATAATTAATTGTACAGTGATTAAAAATAAAATATATTGTACTATATGTAGAATATATTAAATTTCAATTTAATAATTTATTAGAAAATACATACAAGTCTCTAGCTTAATTTTTTTTTTCTTGGAATATGTTAATTTAACCAGTTATATATTAAATTAACAGCGAGTTAAGTAAAACAATGAAAAATATTTAGCGTTGTGTAGCATCTTATTTTACAAAAAAATTTAAAAAGAAGATTACAGAGCTGGTTGAAAGTTGTAATCAACTATTGTTTCAGCCGCTGTATTTGCATTGTTTTCGATAAAATTAGCATCTAACGAAAAAGCATAAGTACGGTTTGCTCAGACGGATCTTTCTCTGCAAGTGAAATATACTCTACATTCAATGAAAAGGGACTTTATTTATTTGTATATTAGAGGATTTGATAAAAATTATTTAGAAATAATTGTTTCGTGCCCTTTATTGAAAAAAATGTTTCAAAATTGGAAAAAATTTGTTCGCGACGTTAGGTAAAAAAAAAAAATACATTATAATTTTCATCCGAGCAGACTGTACATGCATTTGGCGTCTGGGTTGGAGACGCCAAGACATCGGATGCAGTTTCTGTGCACTGTGAACCCCGGTTGATTCTCGCCTATTGATTGTATCATAGTAACAGCGTACTGAATATTCCTTTTCTACTCAATTTATCGAGAAATTCAGTGAACGAAAACGAAAGTTACAAGAGAAACTAAGACATAAAGTAAGTATAACTGTTGTGAAGTCAATAACTATCTTCGAAGCATTGGCGCGCAAGCACTTTGATGTGTCGCTATTTAAGACTTGTTTCTACAGTTTATAAAGAATCCATTGCGAACGTTTATCGTTTCAAATATATTGAATTTGCCTGTTTTTATCAGTCATTTTAACGGCGAAATGAAACTAAAATTACGCACTACACGCAACGATTTTTTATAGCAGTTTTATATTACATATAATTAACCAAATTTCCGAAGTGTATGGAAAAAAAAAAGTTTTGTGTGTACCTCTGAATTTTTAGGTAAAAAATGACACCAGAAGGGTATACACGCGTTTATGTCGGCGGATTAAACGAAAGCATTAAAAAGGAAGACCTCCAGACAGAATTCGAAAAGTACGGCAAGCTAAACAAAGTTTGGGTTGCATTTAACCCGCCAGGTTTTGCATTTATTGAATTTTTAAATATGAACGAGGCAGAACTTGCTTGCAGCAGTATGAATGGCACAGAGATTATGGGTGCTAAATTAAGGGTGGAAATTTCACGGGGTAGAGGTCGTGGTGGAAATAGGGCTGGTATGGGAGGATTCAGAGGTGGTCGAGGTGGTGCAGCTAGGGGCTATGGGTCTGCCGCTTCCATGGCGTTTAATTATAGAGGAAATAATATGTATGCAGATTATGGAGGTTATTATGCAGGCAAGGGTGGTGGAAGTAGAAGTAGAGACTACTACGGAGAAGATTATATGACTAATCGTGCCAGTGGGTATGTTACGCGAGATGGATATACACAAGATGTCTATAATAGTGGAGATCCAAATGCTGATTATTATACCAACAAAGGCACTGGTACATCAAGGTATCGAAGTCGTTCCCCAGCTGGTCGTGGCAGGTATTGATAATACCAAGTCCTTGTAAAATTATATTGTGCTTTCATGAATTCCATGAAGTTAGTTTGTTAAATGAATTTGTTCAAAGATGTAACAGTGACAATTGATTAGTTTACATTGTTTGTACTACAGAAACAAACATTTGGTCATATTTTAACAAACATAAAAATTCTGGGTCAGTTTTAAAAAATATTGCTAGGGAAATGAATATTCAGTATCTAAATAATATGTATATATATGTTGGAATTTAAGTCTACAGTGACCTTCAGCACAAAAAATGTGCATACAGATAAAAAAAAGATAATTGCATGATGATAATATTACCAATTGGCACTGAATAAATCTCTTTGCATGTGCAAATATATTGTGCAATCATAAATTACTTTACAGTTAATGAAAGTTATCAGCCAGATGAAGGCAAAAATTATGTGACATTCTATTTTGCGCTTCCATGTTCACAGTCATCGTCATCTTCGTGAATGCACATAAAAGATCTACACTGCATTGCCAATCTGAACAACGGGCCAATCAGCTGCCCATCCTGATGACTACATTTCTATCCAATCTACGCAGCGACCTGTATATAGACAAGAACTACCATTGCAGATCAAGTTGTGCAATACCATTTGTATAGTTTACTTTAGTTCTACAGTTTGTAATCGTTTTCAGAAACATTACCCATTATTCACAAACAAAAGCGTTACTGCAAACTTTATATAACATGAAAATGAATCATGAACGAAATTTGAATCAAGCTATAATGAATCGTAGTCTAAACTATTTATATACTCAATTTTTATTTTATTTAAATCTGGGGTATTACTGTATTTTATAGTTTTGAATAAGTAACTTTTTTTACGTATATATTATTTTTCTTTTTTTTTTGTGTACTTTTTTAAGTTTCTTACTACATAGGAACTGAATAAAATATATTTAAAAACAGTTTAACATACATTATAAAAAGATAAGATTTTTCATAACTGATATCTTTGTTTTTTCTTATTAACATTTAATCGTTTATAATTTTTTATCATCTATTATAGATGGATAGTATTATTTAACTATTATTTAATGGATAGTAATAATATTATTTTAAAAATGAAAAAAGGAAAATGAGGAAAATGCCAATTTTAGCCAAATGCACACTACTGCTCGTATATATTGGACTGTGCAACTTTGCCTTATGAATTTTTATACGCCATGCAAAATTAAGATTTAATAAGCTGCAAAAATTGATTCGTTATTTATAATTAAATCATGGCCTTGGAGTATATGTGCAGAAATAGTATTGCATTTGGAAACTTTGGAGTATTTATTATGGATACTGAAGTGAAAGATAAGGAAATTGTGGTAATAATGTTTGCCATTGCTGTAAATGATGTGGAATTGCATATCTATTAAATGATTTGCTCTCACTACTCCGCCACCCTGCCTGCTCTTGCCTACTTTTCTAGAATTTTCAATACTTATTAATTTCTTATTTAAATTGACAAAAGAAAAAGTGAAGACTTCTTAATAATGACGAAATTAAAAGACGGTTGCAAAATTGTTCAAGGTTTATGTATACTCGTAGATAGTATTTTGTATTTTTATGGATATGAAAAAATTCAAGTGACGATTTTTATACATTTCTATCTTCTATTAATAACTTCCAATAAGGAACATTAACGTAAGTATAATGTATAAAAATTAATGTTAATATAAATATTTTTTATTTTCAACATAACGTTAAAAATAAACATTAATATAAGTATAACGGTAAAAGAAGTTCTAAAAAACTCGAGATATTTTTAAGCTGAAATTAATTTAATTGACTTATTTTTTTTATATCAATTATACTACTAGTATTAATGATCATTTTTTATAAAAATTGATAAATGCAAATTGTTTATTTCTTATATACATATTTTTATGCTTAATATTATTTTATACTAGCTAACAAATTTGATCTGCGTTCGGTATTTTGGAACAGTGCTCTAATTAACTGTTTAACTTGGGATGCTGTAAATTCTCGCGCAAGCGTTCCTTTACCATTATCCCATCTCATTTCGATTTCTTTTAGTGATGCACCCAATACTTGAATCAATTCTAAAAATTTCTCCCATTTTCTAACGTGTTGATGAATCTTTTGATTATCCTGAAAACACAACATTGCTCAATGTTATCAACGAAAAGTAATATCATTCCAGTTTTATTTTACAGGAAATTCCTAATGAAATAGTATTTTAATAAGTTAATTTTAATGTAATCTTTTTATATAAATTAATCTACAATAAAAGTTATTAAAATATTAAATCATATTTTTTTTATATAAACTTACCGGAAATATTTGTGGTGCACGCTTAACAATCATATTAAACAATGTTACTAATTCAGTTGCAACATCGGCGGGAATGTCTTCAACAGATATTACTTTGATTATTAAGTCTTCAACCATTGAATTCATAATGCATCCTATTTATTTAATTTATTTAATTATCAGTTAATAAATATTAAATATTAAGAAATATAAAAAAATTTGTACTGACCTACAGCTCTGCAATAAATATTCATTGGTAACACATCCATCCAAACTGTTTTTAATAATTCCAGCTGTCTAATGCACTGCCTCATTGCACGCTCAGTGTTGGGATGTAATTCGGAAGTTTGACCCAATGCAGACAAATCTTATTTTGAAATAAATCATTGAAATTATTCGTTATTTTAAAAAATTTATAACTATCACATAGTATTATATGTGTACTTACCGGAATGACTAAGAATACCAACAATAATGTCATTTTGATACTTCATGTGTTCTAAAAGACACGATGATCCGACATCTCTTAATACTAATACTTGATCTGCGAAAGTTAAGTTAAGATTATGCAAGGATTCTGGTAACTTGTCCCTATATTCGTGTCCCAATGTGAGAAGATGGTGCGCAAGATACATGCAATTGTTATGAAACATAGCTACAAAAAAAAAATATATATATATATTATTAACATAAAAAAAAGATTATTTTAATTGATATATGTTAAACATCAGCTTCTTACCGACTTGATGCGGTACTGTTTCTAAAAGTATTCGGTGATGTTCAGGCACTAATCCTGCATACATTTCAAAAATATTTCTACAAGTATAAAATAACTGCACAGTGCAGGAATCCGAACTGTTACAAGCTTCCTCTAAGATATGTCTCGCGAGATTTAACATCTCCTTCGCACTCGTGCTGAAATATAATTTCTAACGTAAGTTTCTTTTTAACTTAACTGAAAATTTTTGGAATAATTTCAATACCTTATTTGACATTTAGGAAGTTGAAATGTGTTTTCGCTTAATTTTTTATCTGCTTTTAATTCGTTAAAATCATATGTATCTTCTTGAAATTCGTGCGGCTCCTAAAACATTAATAAAATTAAATGATACACTACATTCTGTCATACAGTGATATCTCCGAATAAACTTGCCTGTGGCTCGTATATAATGCAATCATGTAAATCTTTCTTCATAATGGTCCGCGCTTTCGCCAATAAATCCTGGCAAATTTTTTTTATAAACAGCTTGTCGATATTCATCGTATATTCCGACAAAAAGAGTTGATCACTTGTAATGAAACCTGAAATATCGAACGTTGATTGTTACAATTATATTTAGCCGCAAGAAAATTAAAAATAAATTTACCAATTCCCTACCAATTTTGACCAAAAAGTACTGAAAATCATTGATTGCTTGAACGATAGGTGCAAAATTTTTTAGGTCGACGCTCGACGTTGGCGTAATTCGCGAGATGCAATCATTCTTTAAGGATGTTGATAATCTTTCGAGCAAATGAGGCTGTATTGCTTTCAGGAATGTTTCGTTATCGTGCACTGTAAATTGAAAATGCTGATGAAGGAATTTGAACAACAATTCCAGATTGTAGAGTACGCTTTTGTAACCGGGAGGTTTCCTTTTGTTTAGCACTTCAACGGTGAAGACTTTCTCGTCGACTACATATACGGAACAATCGTCGTTGATGATCGGGCCGATTATGTGATCCATCAGTATCGTTGAGAATCTATGGAAATGACTCGAAAGATTATCGATACAATGTAAACTCTGAATTAAATTTTGCGTATCGTCCATTTCGTCTTTTACGGTCAACGTTATAGTCTTTGCACTCTCATCGTCGATGCCAGTCCAACAAATCCGTTCGTGCAATAATGACGACGTTTCGGTTAAAAATGATGTGTAAAGATTTAAATACTCTTCCTCAATTGCTGTGTAAATATCAAGATCGTGTAAATCTGTTTCAGAATTGTACAAAATAGATTGCATGCGGCACAACGTCTCAGCTGCGTTCACGTATCGTTTTTCTTCCTGGGAATTTTCCACAGACTTTATGCATTCGTGCAGTGTTAAAAGTTGATTAGAAAGCTGTAACATTATGTTCGACTCTTTCAACGCTTGAGAAAGGGTTTTTAATTCCTTTGTGGAGCCAGATAATTCTATCTTCACCTGAAATAAGTGATGCATAATTAATAAACCTATTTATATTTTATACTGAGCAACATTAATTTATTAAATGTACCTGATCGTCTATTCTCTTCTGCAATGCATTCATTTCCTCGAGTAGTTTCTCTCCCTTCAATACCAAATGCTGATCTTTTACGAGCTTCGACGTGAATTCCACGTAATTATCATTCATGAAATCCTTGACATCGTATTTCAATCTCGTTATTTCTTTCTGTATTTCCGATATCTTTTCGTGTAAATTGATTTTCTCCAATTTTCCTGATTGAAAAAGGGAACACAGGCAAGTTTGAAACTTTTATAAATAGTATATGAATCTTTTACTTCAACGACGTGAAGAAGAAACAGATATACTAATTATATCGAATAATATACGAGTCAATTGTATTTTCATATTTTTTATTTCAATATTTTTGTAATCAATTTCATACTTTAATTAAATTTGAATATATGAATTCACATACGTACCCGCCGTGATCAATACGTCAGTTAAAAATGATGTCATTTTGTTAAGATGTTTTCGTATATTTAGACGTAATTAAAAACAGCTCCAATTGCTTTGCTATTAATTTAACTTTAAGTACAATCACTTCATACTTGTACATCAATAGTTATACAATAGTATACGATAGTAAATAGTAAAAAATTAGAAAAAACATACATTAGTTTACGTATATTTCACGTAGCATAAACAAGATAAATAATAGATTTGACGTTGTCAGATGCGACATTACATCTCGTATCACATGCGACATTACCGATTTAACCGAATACACCTCGTCTGTGCCTCCGATCTACTAACGAGAATTTATAAATTTTTATTCACGGATTTCGTGGATTAAACGGAACAGCTGACAGAAGAAAAGCTGAGACGAAGATAGAATTGCAAAAATTTACAAATTAATTCAATTAAGTTTCTTTTGCGATTAAAAATTTAGTCAGTTCATGGACTCTGAAACACTATCACCACGTAGCGGTGAAGCGAAGGAACTAATTGCTATTAGTGCTTTGTCGTATATTAGTCTTTTTGTTTATCAAATGACTGCATTGCTTTCTTGCACACTATTACTCTTTTTGTCTACACAGGTGCTGCCACTTGTCGGAATTTACTAGAACTAAATCAATATCGTGTTAATTTTTAATTCTAGCTACATGCGATAGGTGACAGCACGTATTATATTTCTGTAGGTACGATGATTGATAAATGATAAAGTCACCGTACTACAAAAGAAATTTTACACTTTATTTTAACGTTTACATGATACAGAATTTAATGGATGAATTACGACTGTTATATATCTTCTTGGAAATTTGTTTATAACTTGGTAACCAATAATTTGTTGTATCTCTATGGTAACTTTTTATAAGACTGAATAGATGTCGCTACATTTCTGTCACATTTTTAATATTGCTGCTAGTAGCGCCATTGCCATCGTTCGCCATTTTACATCTTTCGAAATCGTATGTTTGAAAAAATCTGCAAAATTGTTAATATCTGCAAAAACTTTTCACTTGTAATCGGAGCAAAATATTTATTACTTATTTAAAATTTTTTAATGTTATTGTTTCAGTTCAAATATCAACAAATAATATCATAAGACAATTACATTTTTTTAACGTTTCATATTTTCAACGGTTCAATATTTTAAATGAAATAACTGTTTGAAAAATCAAACAAGATAGTACTATAATACGTATACAAAAATGAACAGTATTGTCATTTAAGGTACATTAATAAATCAGTAAATACTTAATTTAATGAAATACGAAGGTATATTTTTCCTTTTTCCTCAGTTAAATATTTGAAACTCAAATGAGCGATTTCATGAGCAAAACGAAATTATACAACTGTTTACTAATACACTATATGGATATTAACAATATTTTTAAAATTAACATACACTCATATACCTGAATTAATAGAATATCAAGAATGTTATTATTTCATCTCAACAGGTAACATCACGCAGTTTCAAATTCCTACAAAATGAAGTATAACGTGACAGGTATCATGGATCCAAAAAGGTATATCTCGAAATATATCGCGATACGCCACAGACAAAAACAGGTTCTCCCAGGGAGGAACTCACCTGTTTCACAACCTGCGTGACGTATTGTGCCGCGCCGTGTCACGTGACAAGCTTTACCTTTCAGCGTTCGTAGGTGGTAGTAGTAATAATACTATAGCAGTTTACGGCAGGCACGGTAGTGGGCTTGGGGAACGACGCGGGCAAGGCGCAACCACTGGAAACACGACTGGGAACATAAACGACTCCGAGAACCAGTCAAACCGCGCCCAACGTGACGCCAGGTGACTATCCCGCCGCGACGAGACTCCATTCTACGATAAACGTGTACGTTTTGTTCGTTAACGAATACATCTTGCAGATCGCAGGTCTTCCAACAGCGAAACGTTCCTTTCTCGGGCGCAACAAACGTTCGTCGCGTACCAGCCCATTGAGAAATACCTGGCGTGAATACCTCTGTGATTCAAACGGTGGAACGGAAGATTTAATGGTGAACAGACTTTCTCGCGGTACTGGTCGGTCGGATGCACGGTAATGAACGGCATCTCTCGGCATCTCTTGGCCGAGAGGAGGAGGTACGACGACGGACAGTGTTAACGGCAACTGTGTAAGTCGCCACAGTCGAGCTCAGATCTCTCGTGCGTGAAGGAGCACGGAGGCCCCCGAAGGAGAGAGGGAAGGTTAACGCTCGAATTTAAAATACAGTGCACCTCCTCTTGCGTTTGCGTGTTGGCCTCTGGCGTTGCCGCGCGTGGAGCGTTCGATCTCGATCGTGATTTGCGCCGAGTACCTAAGAATTAACAGAGCCAGTTTTATAGTATACGTTGAATCGAATCGAATCGAATCGATTCGAAGAGGGATAGATTTTGCATACTCTGTTCGAAAAACAGAGTACAACGAACGAGAGTATTTATGAACAAACGATGAACGAGATGAATCGTGTCCAATCCTGGTGGCAACTGGAAATCACATTCGGATGATCCGGCACACGTCGATGGTGACTAGCGGCAGCGTAATGACCAGTGAAAGTACAGAATTCGATTACGCGCCGCGATGATCGAATCATCGTGTGACGCATCCCGGTATTGGTGACGAATAACGAGGACTTGTTGCAAAGCGGCGAGGGAACTGTCTCTCAGTCTGAGAAACTCCACACTCTTAGCGCGTATTATCGGCAAATAAATATCGTTATCTGTTTGAAAGCCGGCGCGCGTCGTTCCATCGACGATGTCGCAGCAAGTGTCACCGAGATGCAACGAAACTTTCAAACGAAATTCAGCAACTGCTGTTCGCGAGATCATCAACGATTGACGCTTGACCTAACCTTAACGTAGGTTCTTGAATTTACCTCAAGTTACGTTCCGTGTTATTTGAAAGGTAACTGAAATTGCAAATCGAAAGAGACACGGAAGAAGAAAATGCTCTGTGAAAGTGCTCTGTGTTTGTTGCTCACTTTCCTGGCTGTTCGCGGACAGTCGGAGGAGGGTCGAGAGTACGATCAATCATCGATCTATTATACCGAGCCGACTTTTATCAACGTGAGTAACAGTAATTCGAATGGCGGCCTCTCGGAGTTGCACGGTGGCCGCATTGTTCGTGGCCAGAGATTATTGGAAAGATCGAAGAGCCCTTATCTGGTGCGGGAGGACTTGTTCGTGGAACGCGAGGGCGAGCTGGTGATTGAGCCAGGGGTAGAGATCCGGTTTGGTCCCATGGTCGGAATCACGGTTCGTGGTATCATAACTGCGAAGGTAATACTTTAGAAAATGTATATCATACTTTGATTATAATTACATTTGGATTTTTTATATTACACTTGGATTATATCGCGTGAAACAGGCTTCATAGTAGGACAGTGGAGCAAAAATAATTGAAAGAGAAAGAGGAAATACTACCATTGGGTAATTAATTTAATTTAATGAATTAATAAAATATTGAATTATTTATTGAATTCGTTCGTATTTTTATTGAAGATTATCACTTAT